GTTAGAAATAATATCATTAATATTCATAATATTAACAAATACATTAGAAATAAGTCCATTATTATAGTGACAGCATCTACTTTTGGAGCAGTTTTTAATGCCTCCATTAATATTTGAGTTATTTATTATTGCAACTTCTGGAATGAATGTTAGTTTTTTATATTCTGAGCTATAGCATTATCAAGTGATGACTTAGAAAATTCATTTATTAAAGAGCACAGGCTTGTTTATTGGATATATCAATAAAACAAAAATTATTTTTTCTGTTTTATTCTAAATTTTTGTTTGACCTTGAACAAATTATTCAAGATTTATTTGGTAAATGATAGGGTGATAATATATCCTTCATAATTTTATTAAAGAAAACCTAGACAAGAGTAGGTAGCCTTTGAAAGTTGTTTAGCTTGGCAGCCTGATCAAAGGAAATACTTATAAACATCATAAATTCGATTATAAAATAGGAGGAAGAAGAAGTAAGAGCTGTACAATGATTAAAAGGGAGGAGGAAAGAAAAGGGCAAAATCATTTAGGCTTACTGAAAGATGAATGCTTGAAGTATTTTAATTTGGTGTTGAAAGCAAGGTAATGAAGTAAGTAATATATTTTAAGTGTGGTAACCACAATATAAACAAAACTTTGAGGAAAACATTTAATATTATAATAGAGTAAAGGCTAGGAAACAAATCAAGTGATTTAAATATGAGTAAAGTATAATAGTATAAATTAAAGATGATGCCTCTTATCATGAAAATTATAGGTTAGAATTAGGAAAATTTTGCCTATCCCCCCAAAGAACAAAAAAGCAGACAAAATTAGAAAGGGTGGTATTTCCCATTGTTGGTTAAAAAAAAGTTAAACATATATATTTTTCTCATTGTCCTTAGAAATATCATTTGGGAAGAAAGATGAGGTTCTCCATAAGTTTAAATGAGAATATTTTCAGGGTTACTAGAACCATATTGATAATATTAGAGTCATAAGATTTGACATTCCTTTGACAGTACGTGAGCAAAAACATTGTTTTCACTACAATTCAGTGTTTTTGTTTTTTGTAAATGAAATGATAATTTGAAATAGCATGTATGCATGGGTTTTAATGATCTCAAGTACATTTAGTGGAGATGATAGTAGATTTTGCAGAATACTAGTTTTTATGAACAGGTTTCCTACAAAAATAATTTTCCTATGACTTATTTTGTTAAAATGTGGGGCTTACCATTAGCAGTTTATCTGACACATTAATAAATTTCGAAACAGAATGCTGTAAATCGTATTGGCTTTTAAAAGCATCAGTATTCTTTGAGGAGTGGTTACTAAGTTACGATACATTAAATGCTAATTGGTGTAGTGCTATTGGTGTCCTTTTGCCAGGTTTATATATGATGATATTGTATGACTCTTGATATCCCATGGTGGATAGAGTATTTTGTG